TGTGTAGAGAATGTGTGATACTGTAGTCACATGTACACAATGACCACTCTTTGAAGCTGCTGTAGGCCTCTTGGGAGCCTCTCTGACCAGTTTCTCCTGACTCTTTCATCCAGTTTGGACCGATCCTGATCCACGGAGGGTCTGTATTGTACCAAATACCTCCCACTCCTTAAAAGACTTCTCTTGACTTGTGCCACAATTTGTATCCTGCAGATCTTTTGACAGTGCCTTGCCACCCATAGTTGATTGATTGCTTCAGGTGCACTACTAGGGACTGAAATGCTCCAGGAAAGCTCTTTTCATGCTGAACTAATCAAAATGACCACAAGTGATCACAGTTGAAAGGCAAATGGCTTTGTGTGCCATTGAGAAGGTGATTAGCTACACCTGATTTAGTCATTTTAGGAGGGGGGTGATCCTTTTTCCAACTCAGTGATTCAGTTTTTGTTTTTTTTTTTCTGACAGAATGGTGTTATACCTTTCACTTGGATGGTATACGTTGCACTGAGTGAATACAGCTGGATAGAACAAAAACTGTCTGTGTTAATTTCAGGTTGCAAAGTAACAAAATGTGATTTTAAAGGGGGTGATTCTTTTCTATACACACTGTATCTATATGATCATTCTATGTGACTAAACTATAGATGAGAGTTGCCAGATAGGCCAGAACTTAATGGGATTTGGCTGGGCTGAATTTTAGGTCCAGACCTTTTGGTGGGTGGAGGTGCAGCTCGGCAAAACCCCAATTAGTTTGGATGTTTACAGAACCTCCGAACAAGCAAAATTCAGTCTGAATCTGGATTTTATTTTTTAGTAAAGGACTTGTGAAAAGGTCTGTCTTTATTTACTATTTACACTGGGGTGGGGGAATGCAGTACTCCATGCGTTTTTTGGGGGAAGGCCCTTAACAACCGTACATACCAGACCCTCATCAAGGATAAGAGGCTGGTACTTATTTCTAGGGGGAACCTAATGCTTTTTTTTTTTTTTTTTTTTTTTTTTAGAAAAGGGATCCTCCATGTCTACATGTCCACATCTATATCACAGGTGTCAAACACAAGGCCTGTGGGCCAAATCTGGCCATTTCATGTGGCCCGTGCACCTCTCCTGCAGGTACCCCCCCGCCCCCACCTTTTCTCAGCAGTTGGCAGCAGAGAGAAGAATAGAACTCTGCCAAATCCTGCACCTTTCAGTGCAGCTGCAGCACCCCCTCATCTCTGCCTTCCCTGGTCTCAGCATTCAGCAGACTCTGGTAAATGACTCCACTCCTCCTCTGGTCCTCCTCAGACCCTGAACTTTCTGCTTTCCAGCTCTGCCCCCAAAGGGGGTGCACGGTGATGTTAGGGAGGGTGTGGAATTCTTGACATCTGATGCAATTGGTGGTGGGATGCTCTGGACATCTAGTCTTACAGATACAACCGGCCTTTTGAGGGCAACTATAATACTGATACGGCCCACAATGAAATGGAGTTTGACACCCCTGATCTATATCATATTCTCATACAGGATAAGGGTCTGGTATATATGAACCTGGCTGCTTTTGTTTACAAACAAAATGAAGCAGCCAGGATCTGTCAATCACTAACAATTTAACCACTCGACCTGAAAAGGTTTTACCCTTTTTCATTAAATTGTTTTCTATTCATTACTGCGCTACTTTAACTGGCAATTGTGCGCTCACATAACACTACCCATATTACATTTTTTATCTTTTTGTCACACAAATAGAGCTTTCTTTTGGTGGTATTAGATCTCCACTGGGTTTTTTTTTTTATTTTTTATAATATAAACGGAAAAAGATACATTTTTGGGAAAAAAGGATATTTTCTACTTTCTGTTATAAGAAATATAAAAAAAAAATAATTTCTTCATAAATGTAGGCCAAAATGTTTTCAGCTACATGTGTTTGGTAAAACAAATTCTAATAAGTGTATATTTATTTGGTTTGTGCGACAGTTATAGCGTGTACAAATGATGGTATATATGACGCTATACTGGTAATGATGGTGATCAGCAACTTATAGTGGGACTGTCATAGTGTGGTGGACAATCTGGCACTAGCTGACTCTCTTTGGGAGGTACGGTAACTGACGCTGACATCAGTAGTGACACTAATACAGTGATCAGTGCTAATACTGTACACTGTCACTGTAATTATGACACTGGCTAGGGGCAATTAAAGGGTTAACTGTTAAATGTGTCATATGTATAATAGATGCTGCTTTTACTTTACTATCTGGCTGTTTTTTCTCCCTGCTTTTCAGAGAGAAGAAACAGCCAGTTTGCTGTTACCTGTACACAGAGTTCTGTGTTTTTGTAAACACAGAACAGTGTGTGTGATTGGACACAGGCTATCAGCTGACTTCATCCAAAATCATTGGCTGAAATCAACTGCCAAACTTGTACTGTGTCCAGTCACAGCATGGGTCAGCAGTGGGTATGCAGACAGGCAACGTGCAGGTACGTGATTGTGTCTCTACCTGCAGCCCGCTTGCAGTATATTTATTGTGAGCGGTTGACACGTGGTTAAATATTTTTTTTTTCTTTGTAAGAAAAAAATTTACACCAGAATGTTGTGTGGGAAACTCGTGTTCTGTACGCGTTTTTCTGCACCATGTTCAAAATGTGGTCTGTTGCAGGTGTCAATGTAATCCTAATGACGCCCCAAACTCAGAAAGCAAACGCAATGCATTTGCCTGCACCGGATGCGTACCATGTAATCCAGTTGCACTGCCTTCCTAAAAGTAGTGCTTGTATTCATTTTGGTGAGGTTCAGTGCAATTTCAGTCCATTCAAATGGAAGGGCTGAAAATCACACCATATTGAATCGCACAGGAACACGTTCCTATACAGTCATTCACCTTTCCAACCGCTCCGTTTCCGCCACCCCCCTCTGCCAATCCCTCCACTGGCTTTCGATTGCGCAATGGATCAAATTCAAAATCCTAACGCTAACGTACAAAGCTGTCCACCATACTGCCCCGAACTACATCACTGACCTAATATCCAAGTAACGCCCAGCACGCACACTCCGCTCCTCACAAGACCTCCTTCTCTCTAGTTCCCTGGTCTCCTCCTCCCATGCCCGCCTCCAGGACTTCTCCAGGTTGTCACCCATCCTCTGGAACTCCCTGCCCAACCCATCAGATTATCACCTACTCTCCTCTCCTTTAGGCGCTACCCTGAAAACCCACCTCTTCAGGGAAGTCTACCCCACCCCCTGCTAACTTGCCAACCTCCTCCACTCTTCCTACCACTCCCCCCCCCACAGCTTTCTCCTCCTGTGCTACCATCCCCTCCCTCCTAGATTGTAAGCTCGAAAGAGCAGGGCCCTCGATCCCCTCATGTTTTGCATTGTATTGGTATTGTTCTGTCACATGTTCTGTCCCCCTTTGTATTGTACAGCGCTGAGCGAACTATTGGCGCTTTATAATACTGTAAAATAATAATAATAATGTACAGTGTAGGTGTGAACTGGCTGTAAAGTCAATATTGCTGTAGTAGGTTGTATACATCGCACAGATGTACCAGGAACACAGCAGCCAGTCAGCAGTCAGTTTGCTCTGTTTTATACCTGTTGGCATTTTTAGACAGGAAGTCAGCTCAGTGTGTGAACAGGTAACCCTCCAGCCCCCCAGGACTGGGACACATTATTGTCATCTTTAACATTTCTATACCAAATGCCATTACCATCTGTGGGCGCAGAGAGCGCTAGTCATAAAATATGTGTAAATGATCAGGAAATTAATCATCCCTGATGGCAGTGTCATTTTCTTATGTAAATAGGAAACTTCCTATCTCCCGGTGAAAAATAACCGACTCTCTCACTAAATACCTATTTTGCCCAGAACTCTCTGAAAAGCTCCACTTTTAATGCACTAAAGAGATATTAGTTAGAGTGCCTCACATTCCATCCGCTCATTTTGTGATGAAATTTACATTAATATGTTCTTTCACCACTGTGCGCTGGGTGATGTGCTGCTTTGTTTAAATTAACATAATCACTTTTATTACGGAGTATAGACCAATTCTCTCTGCTTTATGGTTTCTGCTGGAAACAGATAACTTCCCAGCATACCGTTCTCTGTTATACCCAATTAATGTTCTCCATAATAGGAGAAGCACAGGTACGTGTGCTCTGCATCAGGGGTACTGAATTAAAACTCATGGAGGTCCGTCCGACCACTAACATTTTTTTTCCAACAGAGGTCCAAACCGCATTATTTTCCCCCCAGCCCTCTCCTACTGTATATCACAATCCCTATACTTCAGTGTCCGCAGTCGTCACCCCTACCCACCCCTTTACTGTACACCCCATTATTTTCAGCAATCCTCAGTCTGCCCCCTTCACATCCCCCAACAAAACTGCCCACCCTTTACATCTCCCTCCCCACATCATTGCCCCCCTACATCTCTCCCACTGCCCCATCCCCCTCACATCACAAATCCCCCACCCCAATAGTAGTGTTCTATGCTCGTTTCACATCAAACCCCCCCCCCCCCCCCACACACACACACACACACACAGCACTGCCCCTTTCACACACCCCCTGTAGTATACTCTGCCCTCCTCAGATCAACCTCACCCACCACTTCACATCTTTACCCCACAGTACTTTACTCTGCCCCTTCACATCCCCCCACCACAACACTACCATCCCTTAACACCTCCCCCTCCACAGTATTGCCCCCCTCCTCGCATCACAAATGCACTGCCCCCCTTTACATCACCCCTTCGCAGCACTGCCCTATTTACCTCACCCCCCCCTCACATGCACACAGCACTGCCCCTCTTCGCATTTTGCCCCCCCCCCCCCTTTACATCACACACAGCCAGGGTAATGTCCCTGGCCCCCCTTCACTCTCTTACCTTAGAGTGGAGAGCGGGAGGCGGAGCATTTCTGGATCGGGTGTGGGGAAGCACAGCACATCATTGAACAGAGCTGCTTCTTTCCCCCCATCCTCCACCACTGTTATAACAGCAGAGCAGACAACAGGAGACCAGGGGCGGACTGACCATTTGGAAACTCAGGCACTGCCCGAGGGCCCAGGGTCAGTAGGGGGCCCCATGAGATGCACCTGGTACCTTTTTCATAGGCTTTTTTGAGTTTGGGCAAGGACACAGGGGCCCCATGATCTCCTATTGCTTGGGGGCCCAAGGAGTTGTCAGTCCGCCTCTGCAGGAGACAGAACACTTCTGGAGCGAGTGTGGAATAACAGCACAGCATTGAACACATCATGGGAGTGGGAGCTTTCCTAACATTTCTGATTCGAGTGTGGAATAACAGCACAGTATTGAACAGAGAGCGGGAGCTCTCGTAACATTTCTGGAGTGAGTGTGGAATAATAGCACAGTATTGAACAGAGAGCGGGAACGGGAGCTCTCATAACATTTCTGGATCGGATGCGGGAAGCACAGCACAGCATTGAATAGAGCAGGGGAGCTGAATGGGTTAACTTTTTGCATTGCCCAGCAGGTGATTGGCTGCCGGGATTGCCCTACTTCCAACCAGCGGCTGGTTAATTTAAAAAGTACTCCGGCAGCTCCCCTGCTGTATTCAATGCTGTGCTGTGCTTCCCGCATCCGATCCAGAAATGTTATGAGAGTTCCCGCTCCCACGCTCTGTTCAATACTGTGCTATTATTGCACACTCACTCCAGAAATGTTATGAGAGCGCCCGTTCCCGCTCTCTGTTCAATACTGTGCTGTTATTCCACACTCACTCCAGAAATGTTATGAGAGTTCCCACTCTCTGTTCAATACTGTGCTATTATTCCACACTCACTCCAGAAATGTTATGAGAGCGCCCGTTCCCGCTCTCTGTTCAATACTGTGCTATTATTCCACACTCACTCCAGAAATGTTATGAGAGCGCCCGTTCCCGCTCTCTGTTCAATACTGTGCTATTATTCCACACTCACTCCAGAAATGTTATGAGAGCGCCCGCTCCCGCTCTCTGTTCAATACTGTGCTGTTATTCCACACTCACTCCAGAAATGTTATGAGAGCGCCCGCTCCCCGCTCTCTGTTCAATACTGTGCTGTTATTCCACACTCACTCCAGAAATGTTATGAGAGCGCCCGCTCCCGCTCTCTGTTCAATACTGTGCTGTTATTCCACACTCACTCCAGAAATGTTATGAGAGCGCCCGTTCCCGCTCTCTGTTCAATACTGTGCTATTATTCCACACTCACTCCAGAAATGTTATGAGAGCGCCCGTTCCCGCTCTCTGTTCAATACTGTGCTGTTATTCCACACTCGCTCCAGAAATGTTTTGCCTCCTGCTGTCTGCTCTGCTGTTATAACAGCGGTGGAGGATGGGAAGAAAGAAGCGGCTCCTAAATGGTGTGACCGGGTTCGGATGAAACAGTGGCTAGGTCCGCATCCGGACTGCTGTCCGCCATTTAGTGATGCCTACTCTACCCCATCCATGCTGCCACCTCAGCCTACGCTCCTTGCTCTAACTTTCCTTAAACTTCCTCTCCTGAAATACTCCGACCTGCTGGAGGACTCTGATCCTTCCTCCAGATCTCCTCTCCTGAAATAATCTGCACTGCTGGATGACTCTGCTCCTTTCCTTTACCTAACGGTCCTCTTTTGAGATTCTATGCACTTCTGAAGGACTCTGCTCCTGCCTTTATATAACCGAAAAGCTTTGACATTAAATAGAAGTCCCATAACATTAGTGTACATGACTGTCCTCTCTGGGCTGGCATCTCATTCCAGGGAGTACATGGTGAACCTGGGTGATGGCTGAACAAAGATGGCACAAAAAAGGAGATGGAGGCATTGTCAGGAGAGGAGTACTGTGATCTCTCCGAGAGGTAATAAATGCCTTGAAAGTTATACTGACACATTACTGAGCATTCTGCACTTCAAATGAAAATACATCAGATGACAATTTTAATGACCTCTATAATGTTCCTGGTGTAATGGCAGCTTGTTGTCCAGGGTTGGGTTAATGATGAAGACAGTTTGTGTGTGTGTGTGTAGATGATTGATGCTTTGTACAGTTCCCTATAGATTGGGATTCCCACCCCACCCCCTCCTTGTTGTGGAAATAAAGTGCTCTTGCTGTTCTTCAGCTCTGATAAATAGATCTTTTTAAAAAAAAGTGTTTTCCTTGCTTTGCACTCACCCTTAGAGCTTATTAGGAGATAAGGCAGCCGGCTGTGGTCTCTGGGGTCCCGGGGAGGCAGCGGGGTCAGACCACAATCAAGTTTAGGATCCACTCTAAAGTGATGTCCACAGATGAGCGTCTGTATTACAGGTATCATGGCCTCCCGATCAGAGCCCTGCAGAAGTATGAATTCAGAAAAACCGCCAGTGCCATCCCAGTTACAGACCAGACAATTGGTATGATCACCTCCTGATTGAAGCTCTGCAGATGATTGATTATCAGGGAAAAAGTTAGGAAAGCCGCCATGATCATCCCCATTACACAGACTAGATGACTGATTTCATATCCTGATCGGATCTCTGCGGATATCCCATTATCAGATATGAATTTAGGAAAACTGACAGGGATGTCCCCATTACACAGACCAGACAATGGCTATTCTCTTCAGATTGGAGCTCTGCCAGTATCTGATTATTGGATATAAATTCTAGAAAACCACCAGGGCCGTCCCAGTTACACAGACTATGCGATCATTGTCTCCTGAATGGAGCCCTGCAGATATTATCGGATATGAATTCAGAAAAACCGCCAGAGTTGTCCCCATTTACACATACTAGATGACTGATCTCTCTTCATAGGAGCCCTGTGGATAGCCAGTTATTGGATATGAATTCCGAAAAATGTCTGTATTATTTGTATCATGGCCTCCTGAGCAGAGCCCTGCAGATGTATGAATTAAAAAAATCTGCCAGGACTGCCCCATTACATAGATCAGACGTTTGGTATTATCCCCTGACCAGAGCTCTGCAGGCATCTGATTATCAGATGTGAATTCAGGAAAACCGCCAGGGCTGTCCCAGCTACACAGATCAGATGATTAGTATCATCTTCCCCTGATCAGAGCGCTACAGGCGTCTGATTATTGGATATGAATTTAGAAAAACTGCCAGGCCGCCCCTGTTACACAGACCATACAATCAGCATTGTCTCCTGATTGGAGCTTTGTGAATATTCAGTTATTGGATATGAATTCAGGAGAACCGCTAGGGCTGTTCCTGTTATACACATCAGCGGCCTTCATCCAGTTTTTATTGATGCCTGAATCATATTTCCTCTTTTGTTTTTCTTTCCTCAAACTGTCACCAAGCTGTGAAATTAGTGCAATCTCCTGCTGACTGATATTAATACCCCAGATAACACTCTGACCCCGACTTCGAATAAATATCCGCCAGCATCCAGAAAGTGTAAAGACACTTGCCTTTTACCATCCGCACGATTCAGCTTGCTTTTTTGCTACATTGAATCCTACGGACTCCAAATTATTGTACTGTTTAAAGTGTAACTCCATCTTCTGCAGCTTGGTGTTTATCCAGGTTAAGTAGGGGCCCATCAATCCTCTGACAATGTGCAGTAGTTTTTGTGTTGAACAGGGCTCTCCAAACTTTCAAAACAGAAGACCAGTTTACTGTCCTTCAGACTTTAGGGGGGCCAGCTGGAATAGAATTTTTTTCTGGCATCAGCGGCAGTAAACTGTGCCCCATTTGTGGTGTTAGGGGGAGGAATAGTGCCCATTGTTGGTGTCAGTGGGAGAAATATCTCCTTATTGTTTTGTGTCAGCTGGAAGAATAGGGTTTCATATTAGTGGGATGAATAGTGCCCTAAGGGCCTCAGATAAAGGCAATCAAAGGGCCACAATTTGGAGACCCCTGGTCTAGAAGAAGCAAATCAACACTTTCAGGTAAATTGGGTCAATTTCCAATGAAAAATTCCTTCCCAGGCCTTTCACAGAAGAGCAGTTCTGGGTCTGAGGATTCCCACAATATTGTATCTGTGGATACATTTAGATGTGAGCTCATCATCCACTGCCTCTTAGAAATCCTGTTTTTATTTTTTGTGATTCTTGAGGTGTTTTTCCTGTTCCCACCCACTGATTTCAAATGGAGATCTTCCCATGCTTCAGCAAAGCTCTTTTTGTTCCTGATTCAGATCTGCTCGGCTATGACAAGTTGATCAGGATTGGAGTGACCAAACACTGCTTCTAATGTTAAGCCCGGGTTCACACTGATGCGGTGCAGCATATCGCATGTGATTTGCACAGGTACTGTACCGCATTCCTGTGCAAATCACATGTGAGTTCTGTGCGATGCGATTTGAGCCATACATTTTGTATGGCTCAAATTGCACCGCTTATTCCGCACCAAAAAGGTGCAGGACCCTTTTTTTGGTCCGTACTAGAATAGGATCGCATGGGTATTCACACCTATGCGATCCAATTCTGCACATCGCACCGCATTTTGTGCACCTTATTTGTAATTCAACACAACTTGCATTACTGTGCATGCAAGTACATTGCCATGGAGCATTCAAAATGAATGTCACCAAAAAGCAGCACGGCAGGCAGTGTGTGTTTTGCTACATATTACAGCAAATCGAATGTGTGAACGGTCCCTACGGTCTTCTACCAGTGTTGAACTGTCAGGAGTGCTGAGCCCTTTCAATGCAAATGATTTTACCATTAGTTTGCAGCTAAATTAATTTATTCTTTGCTGAAATGTTGCTAAAATTACCTCCTTACTTTGCCATGCTGCACTGCCAGATGATTTGGCAAAACAAAAGTACCCCATTTTATGTGAAATTTTGGCAATGGGAAAACTCTAATTTCCGCTCATTTACTGTATACTTACAGTAGAATTAAGGGCAAATTTTTTTTTCTCCATTTAGGTTAGAGCAAGGGAGGGTTATCACTGTCAGGTTTTTTTTTTTTCTCACCATCTGTGTCCCATTTCAAAGATTTCCCTTCACTTCCTGTCCCATACCCAAGCAGGAAGTGAGGAGGAAATCCCTGCAAATGAAGAGAGTCCCTTGGGGACCCCCAGGTCAGCAGAACCAGTGTCCCCATTGGAAGATTTTTCCTCTATTACTTTTCTGGTAACAGTCCAAAATTTGGGATTTTCTTTACTTTTAAGGATAACAGTAAACAGGACAAATAGAAAGGGTGAATCTCCAAAACTGGGACACAGGCAGCAATAAAAACCTGACAGCTATGCGAATTCCTC